GGTCACTGCCCACGGAGAAAGGTCACACTGTGAAACAAGAGTCGGTGATTTTAAAAGAAGGTATTTGTTTGAAAAGGACCCGCCCCCCTTCGCCCATCCCAACCACCACGCTGCTGATGTTCAGCTAGCATGGAATGCCGGCCCTTCCCATCCTTTCTTGAGAACCCAATCCAACAGGGGATCCTCATGGGATGATGTAACAGCCAAGCCCACGGAGAAAGGTCACACTGTGAAACAAGAGTCGGTGATTTTAAAAGAAGGTATTTGTTTGAAAAGGACCCGCCCCCCTTCGCCCATCCCAACCACCACGCTGCTGATGTTCAGCTAGCATGGAATGCCGGCCCTTCCCATCCTTTCTTGAGAACCCAATCCAACAGGGGATCCTCATGGGATGATGTAACAGCCAAAATGCTTATCTGGTTTGAGAGTAGTCACACATCTCCAGCATGTGCTGGAGACACCCCACCCCCACTGCCACCGTGAGTCAGTATGCAGGGAATTATTCACACTAGGCCAGACAACATTGTCTACATCCGGGTGGGGAACCTTTTTGGGTGGGGAGCCACTGACCCACAGGGAGGGGGAAAAAAAAAGTCAGTCACGGGCCATAAGTGAGAAGCAACAAAAAATAAAAATAAAAATGACTGACGTGGCTCCCCGACTGAGAAGCAGAAAGATGCTCCCCACATCTTCATACACCAGAGCCTAGGGAAGCATGGGCTAGTAGATTTTGGGAGTGGGGGAAAGCCTCCAGGCAGTGCCTTACTGTGCCAACCAGAGGGAGAGAGGATGGCAGTGCACAAAGCCACTTCCTCCCCCCCACCAGGCAGGCTCTGGTTTGTCTGACTCCAGCTCGGGGCTCTTCCTCCAACAGTGGGGAGCCGGCACTGGTGTTCCAGCCCCGCAGGGAGATGGAGGAGGGAGCTGTGGGGAAGGGGGGCGGGGTGCATGGGATGGGAGCCCTGAGGCTCAGGGACCAGATCCAGGCGAACTGGGGACTGGATCTGGTCCCCAAGCCATACGTTCCCCACCCCTGGTCTACATCAAGAAAATTCACACCAGCCTAGCTTGTGCAGTTACGCTGATGCTAACAGAGAAGTCAGATGCAGTGCATCTCTATTGGGGGTTTTCACTGGCTATCCAGAAGGAGGTATTCTCCCAAAGGAGAAGCACAACGACTGTATAACGTGCTGTCCCCTTTATCATGCCTTGGGTAACTGAGTCTTTGCCAAGTCTTTTGTATTTGAGACCTTACCACTCAAACTAGACAAGCATCAAACTGAGCTTTGATGGGCCCCCTAAGCTGGTGTCAGCACACAGAAGGGACATGCCAGTCGCCACAGAAGACAGGGATTTTTAAATACAAAAGAAATAAATCATTAAACAAAGCAGCTAGCCTTTTAAACAATGAAACCTGACCCCGTTCACCAATACACAGATGGCATCTCTCTCAGCAAGGCAAGTATCAGATCATGCATCTAGGTGACCTCATTAGAACGCCTTTCCCTGCCCAGACACACATATTCATCCTAACTTGGTGCTGGTTAAAGATCTGGGAGGACAGAGCTGCTTGGCAGCCCTCTAAAAGCCACCGCACTCTGGCTCTTCTGGTGCAGCAGAGGAAAGAGATTCTAGAGACGGAGCCCTCATTGGACAAGGAAGCAGCTCAGAGTTCTAGGCATTGGCTAAAACTTCGTCTCCTTCAGGCTGCTACTGGCGTTGGCTAGCCAACCTCAGAGAGTTTCATTAAGTCTGACTGTTTCAACGCAGAACATGGCCAAAAGACACTTTTTAATTTCATTTTATAAATCACATTGTAGCCTATATAGCATGTGACATGGTATGGCTCCATTCACAATAGACACATTTAAATCCTATTTAAGCACTAGCCTTAAGTAGGGATCTGAAAGTGTAACCGTGTACATGATTAACCGATAACCCAAGGCTTATCGATTAATGTTCCCATTTACACGCAGGCTCCTGGGTTGCATTGCTTCTCCAGGAGCTGCCTGTCACGCCATGCTGCTGCCTCTGTATCAGAGGCAGGAGTGAGGAGCAGGAGGCAGGAGCCGGTATGGGGAGCCGGCTGTGTGCACCAGCTTCTGGGGAGCAGACTGCCACACCTCATGTAACCATGTAAAAATTCGGTTACTTAAACACATTGTAACATCCCTAGCCTGAACTGGTTTAAGAGTGCTTTTCTAGATGGTTTTGCAAACAGTTCAAACTCCTAGCATGGGTTTGATCTGAAAATCTGGTCACAATAGGATGCAACAATCTCCCTCTTCTGACCAATCTTCAGTGAACCGTCTCACTGACTCACCAATTACACAAGGCAACTCCTGGAAACCAGGTGTGGAAGATGCTCAGAGGCTATGATGTTGGGTGGCAGTATAAACACCATGGTGAAAGAGTCTATGAGATCCCATCCAATCTATCCTTCCTGCCAATTTACTCTAGAACACATCTCCAGTGTTTAGCCCGGGCTAAAAATAACTCTGATTGGGTCTGACTTGGTGTTTTAAATAAGTTGTAAAGAAAATGGAAGTGAGAAATGCTAATGGGGAGCCAGACAGAAATCAGACATGAGGGAGGAAATCTAGCTATGCAGAGGCTGGTCTTGCACACGCATCGGGGAGAAAAAAAACTCCAGCAGGATAAACCAATCTTTCTGGATGATTTCCACCTCCTAAGCTTATCTTACACCCACCTAAATACAATTGATTTGGGGGGAGGGAAGGATATGAAAACTCCCAGCTGGGTCCCGCTTTCTCGTCACTCTTCTCTGTACCCCAACTGTTCTGGGGACCTATTTTATCAGAGGGGGAAAAAAAAGCATATTGCAAGGGAGGGGGGTGATCGCAAGGCAGGCAGGCATAGCTATACCAGCTCTCATTTCACTAGCACTGGTAACAGTTGTAGTAAAGATGCAGCGGGATGAGCGTTAGCATGGGCAACTGAAGTACAGCAGCTGGAACCCTGGGTACGTACTCTGGTTGTGGCCCATGCCTCTCTGGGTCTTCACTAGCGAGATGAAATGCCTATGTTACAATCACACCTTCAGGAGCAGTATAGACATACTCCAGGAGCCAGTACAGTCCAAATGTCTGCCCAGCGAAGGGACAACCAGGTCTCCCGTGCGGATCCATTTCCCTCAAAACTTGACAAGCTACACAGAAACGGTGCCATGTAAGGAGCCGCACACAGCCCGGGCTCAACACTTGAATCACAAGCTCCTTGCTGGATCTAGGTGAGAAAATGCAGCAGAACGATCCAGGGTCGGGATTAGCGAGACCATAAGATCCGCAACAGCTCTGACAAAGTCTAGTGAAGAAAGCCTTCTCCCTCACTTCAGTTTAAATCCGCTTCCTCCAAACACACCGAAGACCCGAAGCCCATCTAGATTTGCTCACCTTATTAGCCAGCAGCAAGCACGGCACCAGGCTTCCATCTGGCAGCGTGAGTTTGCTGTCCAGATCCAGCTTCCACTTCTGGCTGTTGCTGAATGTGTTGAAGTTAGTAACATCGAACATTATAACACAGGCTGATGCCTCTCTGTAGTACAGCCGAGTCATGGAGGTGAAGCGTTCCTGCCCTGGGGGTGGGGTGGGCAGAGAGAGGGATGGTTTTTAAACATCATCTCTTTGGACTGGTCCATGCTTGGGGTTTGCCCCAGTTGCAGCCAGCTAGAGCCAACCTCTCAAGTGAGATACTGTGCCTCCAGGTATTCCTGTGAGGACAGAAGTACTGCTATCCCCCTTTCGGAGATGAGGAAATTAAGGTACCGAGATGAGAAGTGTTTTGCCCAAGCAGTTCAGTGGCACAGCTCATATTAGAGCTTAGAAGTCCAGACCCTCACAACATGCTCAAATCACAAGTCTTCCAAGCCTCTGTTTTCCAGTCCCTTTCCTCTCAAGGTCATTTTCGTGGCCATTTAAACTCTCTTTTTCCCTCCCACCGGATTGCAGTTTTAACTCATCTGCAGCGAAAGCCTAAACACGGTGATTTGTCTAAACACAGCTGCTCAGGGGCTTTCAGCAGCATTTCCCCGATCAGTTGTAAACAGGGATTTTTTTTCCCCCAAAGAATGTGTTAGCAAAACAGTGTTACCTACTATGTGCTGTGCACAACTTATAATGGCATGAACACTGGTCTTGGAAAATAACCCATTCGCTGGTAGGACCCTGATAACTACCCTGCTGGGACAGGACAGTTTTAACCACCGGGTGAACAAGCCCATAGGACCTTTCTGTGCTGCAGGCTGAGCCCCTTTAGTCCAGAACCCTTGGGACAAGACTGGTGCCGAACCAGAGAATTTGCCAGACCACAGGAGGTCAATATCATCTAGCAGCATCACCAGCACAGCCACTGCTTCCTGGGCTTGTAGAAGACATTTAGGGATAAATTAGAGCTAAACAACAGCACAGAATACTGACAGCCAGGACTGGTGCCTGTAAAAAAACACTATGGACTGTGGGAAACTTGGCCATCCCCATGATAAGTGGTCATCCGGCTAATTAAAAACATGCTGGACCATGGATATTGCTGGACCAGAGCATGCCGGACTACAGCGGTTCAACCTGCACCAAACTGAATGTGGCTATGACTACAATCCCACTTATGTTGGTATAATTTATATTGTTCAGGGGGTTGAATAAGCCACCCCCCAAGTGATGCCAGTTACACCTACCTCAGTGCTGGAGAGCTTCTCCTGCTGACACTGATCTCACTGCTTGCTCATTAGATGTGGGTTAATTAAGTCGGCAGGAGAGCTGCACCGCTCTAAGCACTCTAGTGTAGCCCTAGCCTGTGTTTAAGCAGTGCCTCGCCCAAGCCAGAATGTCATTTGGGCTTGCCTGTTGACAGGACCAAACTCAGGCAACATTCATATTATGTGATTCACTAACACGTCTAAAATGGGACTTGGTCATATCTAGGCAAGGCAAAACATTAGATGCCACAGGGTGAATGAGGACTGTGTTATAACAACACAACGTGGTAGGTTTGGTAGCACTTAGACGCTTACACTGGCAAGGGGTCAGCAATAACACACTTTCTAGTTACCTTCCAATGGCTATTTCCCCCCGTGTGCCTTTTAGATAGCGAGCACAAAAACAGGGCAGGAACAGGCAGTAGCAGTGAGTCTTGTACAGCTCTGAGCACATTGCTGGGTGTTAAAAACAATGCAGCAGCCAGTCATCCCACAAACCATAAATAGCCACATGGGTTTTCAGTGGACATCAGTCTGCTGCTGCATCTGAAATGTCTTTTTTTTTTTAATTAAACTGATGTGTGTGATGCCTGTTTCCCCAGGACATAAAAGGGATAAAACTCAGGCATCCAGTCCCACAGCTTCTGTGCTCAACCCCCCCTTTCCTCTTCCTCACTCTCAACCTCCATCTCCGTCTCCTCTTCCTTTCTCCCTCTTCTTCCCCCCGCCCGGGTGCATTTTGACAGTGCTGTAAGCTGAGTTCTGTTTCTCTACAGTGGCAGAGGCAGCCTAGGCTGCTGCAATGAAAGATGGCACCGAACCCCAACCGTGTGCCTCAACCCATCCCAGACCACCACCTTCTGGGCCTGCAGAAGAGTCCTATCTCATGACAACTTGATTGGCGGCCTCCCCATCTTGAATATGGACACTGTTCACATGAGCCACCTAACAGCCCTCAGATGGCAACTTTCACAGCCCAATTGTGTTGTCAGAGCAGTGGGAGTTACTCCTGATTTAGGCCTGAGGGAGAGGAGAATTGGCTTTCTACTTAAGGCCAAACTGCCTGTACGGTATTGTACCTAGCAGTCAAACATTCCCCCTGCATCCAGATACCCATCATCCTCCCTTTCCTCCCTAGTCAGGCTGTTGTAGCTTGAAAATTGTGGAACAGGCACTGTGGAATTTATCAATCCCTGCAGCTGTGCTCCCTCTAAATGAGCCACATGATTCAACATTTAATCGCCATCAGAAAAAAACAAAAAAAACAACAACCCCAGAAGCTTTATTTTTTTCCCCCCCAACCAGAAATAAAGTTGTTGGGTTTTTTTAAGGGTCTTTTGCTGAAGAATAAAGCCCAATGGGTTGGACGCTTGGAAACTCTGTTCTCTGCTAAGGCCAAAGGCTTTCATGCACTCACCTGCAATGTCCCATAGCTGGAGTCGTACTGTCTCGGACTCAGACCACTGCACCACCTTCAGAGCAAAATCCACTGCAAAATCCCAAAGAGAAAGGAAATCTGATTAGGGATTATGTAGACCCACTGGCTACGTCTACACTGGCCCCTTTTCCGAAAGGGGCATGCTAATTTCACAGGTCGTAATAGGGAAATCCGCGGGGGATTTAAATACTTTGAAGTAGGAATAAGAGATCCTCGCGGGGGATATTTAAATCCCCCGCGGATTTCCCTATTACGACCTGTGAAATTAGCATGCCCCTTTCGGAAAAGGGGCCAGTGTAGACGTAGCCACTGTGTGTTTCCTCCACCCATATCTATCAGCGGTTGCAGGCATCTTGCTCTACAGGTTGAACCTCTGTAGTCCGGCACTCTCTGGTCCAGCAACATCCTTTGTCTGGCATGATTTAAGTTAGCTGGATGTCCATTTTATCATGGTTGTGGCCAAGTTTCCCATGGTACCATGAAGTTAGTTTAGAACATAAGAACAGCCTAACTGGGTCAAACCAAAGGTCCATCTAGCCCAGTATCCTATCTGCCAACAGTAGCCAGATGCCCCAGAGGGAGTGAACACAACAGGTAATCATCAAGTGATCCCTCTCCTGTCACCCATTTCCAGACAAACAGAGACTAAGAACACCATTCCTACACATCCTGGCTAATAGTCATTGATGGACCTAACCTCCATGAATTTATCTCGCTCTTTTTTGAACCTAGATAAAGTCCTAATCTTCACAACATCCTCTGGCAAGGAGTTCCACAGGTTGACTGTGCACTGCATGAAGAAAAACTTCCTTTTGTTTGTTTTATACCTGCTACCTATTAATTTAATCCGGTGACCCCTACTTCTTAGGTTATGGGAACAAGTAAATAACTTTTCCTTATTCATTTTTTCCACACCAGTCACGATTTTATAGACCTCTATCATATACCCCCCCTTAGTATACAGCCCCCAGGCCTGGCTCTCAGTGTTCTGTGCTGTTATTTAGTTCTAATTTACCCTTAAATTACTTCTAAAAGCTCAGTAAGCAGTGGAAGTGTGGGTAATGCTATTAGACAATCTTGACCTCCCGTGGTCTGGCAAATTCTCTGGTTTGGCATGGGTCAGGTCCCGAAGGTGCCAGACTAGAGAGGTTCAACCTGTAACACAGAAAGGCCCTAAGAGCTTGTTCACCCTCTGGCTACTGCTATAGCAAACTGCCTCTCAACCAGTCAAATAGCCACATGTGTCTAGTGGCTAGCGTGTTGGACACCTTGGCTATAACACTTCCTCTTGTTACATGGGGTGATCTGGTGCAAGGTATTGCCCCAAACAATAGCACAGAAGCAGCCATGCTGGGCTGTAGGAAACAGGCAAGCAAAGTGGATTAGCTCACTGTTAAGCTAACTCGGCTCCCATCAAAGCCAGCACTGACTTCAACAGTGTCCGTATTTGGGTCACCACTTGCATTTGGGAAAACCACACCCAAAGCTTTTGATTTGCATTATGGGATTCAAAACCACACTTGCAAATCTCATGCTTAACTAGCAATGCTGGACCAGCACCACGACTAGAGTCTGTAAGCTCTTTCAGGGGCAGAGAGCTTTTTTTGCTCTGTTTGTACGGCACCTGGTACAAGGGGTACTGGGCCATGGGGCTCTACATGAGAGGAAATAATAAATCATATAATCAAAGGAAGATAAATTTGCAAGGAGTGTTCTGAAGAACAAGCCCTCTCCAGCACCTGACCTTGAGAAATAACAATGTAAACTTAAAAAAAATAATAATACAGGTGATCTTATTATACAAAGATTTACAGGAGACCTCCCCTCCCCCAATCATCTGGATTTACTTTACATTTCAGTCAAGTGCTTCTGGATTGCACATTTTGTACCCTTGATCCCCAGTTTCAACAGCAGGCAGAACCAATCAGATCATTTTGATTAGAGGCCAATATACACAATGGGAAGGACAGCCTGGCTAATTTGCCCTTTAAAAAAATATTATTGGTCCTAGATCAAAACTGAAGAAGCTGGCAATTAATCAGCTATGTTTAGTAATCTTTTTAATAAAGCAACATGTAGCATCACATTCAAAATACGCACTGCCGTCTGTCAGAAGCCAGCTGTGGTTTTGCACTAATGCCCCAAAATTTACAAAATTAGTCACTTTTGCTCTGTTTTTACTTGCCTCCATTTTGTACTGCCCAAGACAATTTAGATGCTTTGGGGGGGGGGGGGGGGGGGTAGCTTTTCCTTTTACATACATGCCCTCTCCCCACTCCAAACCCAATCAATCTTAACGAGTGCCGGAGGAGTTTAAATACACACATCTGAGCTACATTTATCAGAAGTGCTAAAAATCTGATCCACTGCAATCCAAAGCAAGGGTGTCCAGTCGGGCTAATGTCTAGCACAGTGGTTTTGAAACTTTCTGAAGATCGGGATTCGTTTTTTTTAATGATTGTGGATAAAGAGAGAAACTGCAATACCCCTGCTGTTGCAAATGATCAAAGCTGTGAGTAAGTGCATGTTTTGCAAAGCCAAATCCAGGCGCTTTGTACATCACTGCCTCAGTGGGGTGCAGGCCTCCAGTTTGACAACCTCTGACCTCGTTCTTCATCTTGGATTCTCCAGCAGAGAGATTAAACTAAGTGTGTGCTCTGAAAATGAGGAAAAGCACTAACAGTGGCCTCTATTTTTTCAGTCCCACTCAGACAGCGTCTGGATTGAGCCTTAGTTCTTCCTGCACTTGGCCTGGTATTCAACCCTGCTATGTTAATGTTAATAGCTGTGCTGGCTGATGTGTTAAAAAACAGGATAGCTTCCACACACAAGAGAAGTCCTGTATGCAACTGTTTTGCAACTCTCTGTTACAATGCCCTGGTCCCCAAGACAATTAACAAGTCCATTTTAGGGTATGTCCATACTTAAATGTTTAAGTAGCAATTTAACACCATTCCAGGGCTGGATTACCCAATAGGCATACTAAGCACGTACTTAGGGCACCAGCAAAGCAGACGCACCCCCTCCCCCACCAAAAAAAGATTTTTCTTTTTTTGAAAAATTTGATATTTCAAAAAAAGCATCGAAGTAGTCATCATGGGAAAAGTCAGAACTCCGCAGAATGTTCTTTTTATCAGCTGAAAAGAATAAAAAACCCTCAGAGAACAACAATGTGTCAGGACAGACTCGATTCACTTTCCCTAGTGTGTATGGAAGCGAACATGCTTCGTCAAGTCAGCTTCGATGAACGTATCCAGAATTTTGCAATCAGAAAATCTAGAAAGAAGCTATTTTAATTTCAGCATACATGTAAGTTGTGTCATTTCGAAAAATAAATTTTTATTTTACAGTATAGTATTGTTTTTATTATGAATTACATATGGGGGGGCACCATAATCTTTTCAGTGCTTACGGCCTCTAAAGGTCATAATCCAGCCCTGCATAACACATACATAACACAGCCTTAAAATTCTAGCATAAACAAGACATGAATATTTACATCCTGGAACAAATATGTTATGTTCTTAAATATTCGGGCTGTGTCTACCCCAGATTTTACAATTGAGTTAATTAACATATTTACATCTGGAGTACTGCACCCAATTCTGGGCACCCCATTACAGAAAGGATGTGGAGGCACTGAAGAGAGTCCAGAGGAGGGCAACGAAACTGATTAGGGGGCTGGAGCACATGACTTACAAGGAGGGGTTGAGGAATTTGGGCTTATTAGGGGGGATTTGATAGCAGTCTTCAGCTACCTGAAGGGGGATTCCAAAGAGGAGAGAGGCTGTTCTCAGTGGTGACAGATGACAGCATGAGGAGCAATGGTATCAAGTTGCAGTGGGGGGGGGGGGGGGGGGTGGGTGGGGATTTGGG